TTCACTTGTTCACAAAAATTGCTATGAAGCCAAAAATACACAAATTTTTAGCTACAGTATAACCTCTGGGATATAGGCTACTCAATGATGGCTAATAAATGTGTCGAACTATCGATAATGAAGGCATTACTATGTCAAATTAGATGGTTTTGAAGAAAATTTTTAAATATTTTCCAAATTTTCGCTACTCTCTCGTTCATTCTCTTTATGCATTATACTGTTACTATGAAAGAAAAGAACTTGTTTGATTGAACGAAACAAATCAAACAAATTCTTCGGAAACTCGTGAAAAAGTGTATTTTTCCGTTATACGGACCCATTTTTTTTCAAATGTTTTCCATAAAAATCCGTTCTTCAAGATAGAAATTTTTTTCGTAGATCTTATGAGGACTGTCTCCTTGCCACGTTCAAGATAAATATCAACAGGTTTGAGGCCAGTTTGAAAAGTTTTTTCAAAATCATTTCCGGTGACGAGAGCATTTGAAATGATTCGATAGCTGTTCAGGGGTTTTCTATAAGAGCAATTTTAGTTTAACAAAACATCATATCTCTTCCATTGTTTCCGCCATGCGACCCGGAAAAGAATGTAAATAATGGCTTGAATTACCTGGCTGCGAATTGTTTCGTCGTTTACATGATAGAACATTAGAACAATAGCCCACTTCTCTGTTTTGGGAAAACCTAATGTGTTTATCAAATATAGAATGTCATTTTCATGATGTTAGCTCAATCATGAAACTGTTGGCTAAAAATTGGGTCGTTCTTGAATAAAAATCAGATTGAACCTACTTTGATAAATAGCCTAATAAAACGTGCTAAACATGTGATGACATGTCAGTTTTTTGACACATGCAGGAGGTTGACTCTCCATCCCGTCAAGTTTTTACCAAATTTGGTAAAAGAATACATCAATATTCTTTTTTTTGGAAAATGGGTCCGCATAACGGAATAGTACCGAAAAAAAAGTTATAGCGTCTTGAAACAGAAAAAGTGCAAATCGGACAGAATTTTTGCAACAGCCTATATATTGATATATTAGGTTGTCCGGAAATTAATGCAGGTTTTGATTTCCAGCCGCAATAAGTCATACATTTCTCATTTTTGAACAGGTTGCAAGGTACTGTTCGATAGAGCAAAACAAGCTCTACAAGATGGCTATCTTGCTTTGGCAACAGCTCTGATCCACCACGAGTTTGGATCCAAAAACTAAAAAGATCCAACAGCCCGAAAAATCGAGAAAAATCGTAACTCAGTTCGTAAAAATCCTACAAAAATTCTAACTTGTTCACGTAAACACAATCCACATAAGGCATCTATATACGCCGTTGCCGTATTTTTTTCGCTGTTAGAAATCAAGAAAACGGAAATCTTCGTTCATCTGCTAAAGTGGTGCTGCACCGTTTGCACATAGGTAGTTGTATACTACAAACTTTTAGAAGTACAAACGTAAATTTTCAGCTCTCTACAAGCTTTAGTTCGCGAGAAATTCAAATTTTAGCTTGGACCACATGACTAGGGAAAACTGTTTTCGATATTTCTCGAGAACTAAGGCTTGTAGAGAGCTGAAAATTTACGTTTGTACTTCTAAAGGTTTGTAGTATACAACTACCTATGTGCGAACGGCACAGCACCACTTTAGCAAATGGACGAAAATTTCCGTTTTCTTGATTTCTAACAGAGAAAAAATACGGCAACGGCGTATATGGATGTCCTATGTGGATTGGGTTTACGTGAGCAAGCTGAAATTTTTGCAGGATTTTTATGAAATGAGTTACGATTTTTCTCAATTTTTCGGGCAGTTGAATATTTTCAGTTTTTGGCTCGAAACTCGAGGTGAATTAGAGCTGTTGCTAAAGCAAGGTAGCCATCTTGTAGAGCTTGCTTTGCTCTATCGAACACTACCTTGCAACCTATTCAAAAATGAGAAATGTATGACTTATTGCGGTTGGAAATCAAAACCTGCATTAATTTCCGGACAAACTAATATATTAGGTTGGTGCAAAAGTTTTTGCGCACGATTTTCAAAAATTCATAACTTCCGATTTTTTCAACCAATTTGGCCGCTTTTATTTTTGTATGAAAGAGTAACTCATGCTCTTCGTAATGGCATCTTAGCTGCTTGCTAATGATCATCTGTTTCATAGATACGAGCGATAGAAAAAAACTGGTCAAAATTTGAATTTTCTGTGTAGGGTCATAAAAAAACGGAAACTTGCAACAAAAATCGGAGCAGTCAGCATTGTAGGATCTTGTACCAGTTCTTTCTAATGATGCAAAGTTTGCGTCGATTGTGCGTCTCTATCAAAAGTTATGATTTTCGAGCAAGCAATACAAAAGGGCGATTTTGATTTATTTCGGCATTTTTCAGGAAAATCATAACTTTTGGTAGAGACGCTCAATCGACGCAAACTTTGCACCATTAGAAAGAGCTGGTAAAAGGACCTACAATACTGACTGCTCCGATTTTTCTTGCAAGTTTCCGATTTTTTATGACCCTACACAGAAAATTCAATTTTTGACCAATTTTCTTCTATCGCTCGTATCTATGAAACTGATGATCATTAGCAAGCAGCTAAGATGCCATTATGAAGACCATGAGTTACTCTTTCATACAAAAATAAAAGCGGCCAAATTGGTTGAAAAAAGCGGAAGTTATGAATTTTTGAAAATCGTGCGCAAGAACTTTTGCACCAACCTAATATTATATTGATATACATATGTATATCGTATATATACTTAACATATTTTGTATTCTTTCATAGAACATTTCTTCGAGGCATAATTTCTTTTATGTACACACTGCTTGATTGTGAAAACTAGAGAAGAGAGTGATGTTACCGTAGGATCGCTAAGCTCTGTACACAAAAGCGAAAAAGTTATCGAACTGAGAGACATGATGCTTACAGTTAAGCGACGGAATATTTGGAAAAGATCCTACTTGAAGTCTCTGGTCTTACGTCAAAATAGACACATACGATTACTGAATTTCTCGTCTTCAAAATATATCAGTGATCAGTTAAGGTCAAGGTCCACAATACTGCCCTAAGCTTTGAGAAGAAAAAAATTCGACTGCCCCTTAGAAATGAGAAATGACTTAGTGTGGATCTAATCTTACCTCAGATATGAATGTAGTACGTGGATGAAAAAATCTTTCGTTTTTTTTCAGTAGAAAACCCTCTCATCTTATTGTTTACACTGGACTGATGGAAGCGTTGTGAACGGTTGTTAGTAATTGTTGAGTTGTCCCAAAAATAACGCCTTTTCAAATAAACCAAATTATTTTAGTTTTCCCTACCGACTTAGGCTACTATCTGATAAAGACAGCAAGCTCTACAAAACGAGCACCAAAGATCCATCTATCATCAAATGCAGGTAAATCTCGGAACCAAGAACTAAAATTTTTCAACTATTCTCGATACACACATAATTACAGGGTGCGTCAAAAGTCTGGGAGCCTAGTACTTTTTCGTACAAAATGAAAAGAGAAGTACCTAGAAACGAAAAATTTGGCGCAGACATATTTCGAACCATTGCAGATACAGGACAGTTCTTGAATTGCAAAATTGCTTCTTTTGGCTTCCACGCGGCCATACAAAATCTTAGCAAGTCCACCTGTCACGGCACGCAGGTAGTCGTAATGAAATTCGCCCCACGCCTTTAAAATAACTGTTTCTTTTACCTTGGCAGATGTGCAGCACAATAGAGTAAGCTTTTATCTGCAATATACTTCCAAAAGAATTTTTTGCATTGCTTAGAAATAAAAATATTGCTTTTTAATTAGAAGCATGTGTACGTCGCATACCGGGATTGGCTACAATTGCGTGAAAAAAAACTTAAAATTATCGTTTAAAAAGTATAAAAAGTGTTCCCATGGCCGAATTTCAATAGATTCTAATTCAGAAGACGTATGCAAAAAATATAGCTTTGGTTCCAGTGCCTGTTGCGCTTCTACAGCTTTTAAATTTGTTCTGAAGAAGGATTTCCACTGGCACATAGATAACATTCGCAAACTTTTATTTTCCGTTTATGCAAGAACAGCTCTTGGCAAAAGCAAAACTACGATCCAATAGCGCGAAGCCTCTTCTATATCGTGTGCATCGAAGTGTCGTAGAATATTAACATTATTTCTAGCTATAGAAAAAACTGTAAATACCAAAAATTCTGGTTTTTTCGCTATGCAAAAGTCCTAGTTTGTTAATTTCCAATCTTACAAAAACATATGGCCATTCCCAGCTAGATAAAGTATATTTTGTAGAGGATGAACGCAGCATCATGTGGCATAAAATTGGAATCAAAACCATAAGTACCTTTGTAATTGCAATACTGCAAAGTTAGGCTTCCATATTTTTGACGCACCCTGTATTATAAGGTACGCATAGATTGCGAAGTTATTTTCGCTGCTCATTAAGGAATAAAAATGGACCGAAAATGAAAAAACATCACGTTGCGCTTGCATTTTCTGTCGAGTAGTATCAAATCTTCGGAAAACTGTTCCATTTATCTGGGAAAGGGGTTTACTTTTGAAGGAAACTAATGCTATATTCTACTCGATTCATAAGTTCTCATGACTGCGGCAGACATCGGTCGCGGAAAACGTTTTTTCGCAGTGGTTGTAAAACGGACATCTATTTTGCACAGACCTATCAGTCGCATGATTTACAACGCCACTAAAGTGCTTTTTTTCTTGAAAAGAGCACACGAGCACTATGCTCGCTGCACACTGCAAATATCGTCTGTCATGATCTCATATTGATACTGCTCCGCTAAGCTCACCAAAAATGTTGATCAAAACTCAAATAAAAATTTCTTACAACAGGTTTAATGGTTGAGTATGCAGCGATGCCTTCAACGACCAGTTTTGCGCTTTCATTAGGATCTTTGTTCAGTTTATTTTCAACTCTAATCTTTTCCATCCAAAATGACTTTTCACGTTCTATTCAAACGTTTATTTTCCTCAAACTTTTTTCGCGCATTCCCTCTCGTACAATGTCTGTTTTATAGATTTTGTTCATGGATGACGAAACTCCCGGTTGGTTCACTTTACACGAAGGTGTCTTGAAGATTTGGGAAGGCGTGTGCGTTTTGATCTTAGAAGAAGAACTTCAGCTTTGTAAAGTTAGAAACGGAAAAATATTCAAGATTGCTTTGGAATCTTTCAACCTTAAGAAGGTCTGACCTTGATTGATTGATTGATCGATTCAAATTTTTTTCTCACTTCATCATTTGTAGGTTTCATCCGACGGTTTCTGGAGTTGTGTAGAAATATTGGGAACACTGGAACCAGGACATTGTCTATTCTACTATCACGCTGAAACACCTGACAATGCTAAAATCATGCTAAAGGTTGGAAGAATGTGGATCTGAGAACTTTTGCACAGTTTCAATCTTCAGAACATATCAAATTCCACTGGCAGACAATTTTCATCACTATCAATTCGGCTTGATCCGGACCCACTACGAACTCGGAACACAAAAGAAGTTTCGAAGCGAATCTCTACGTGGTCCCAACTCGGACAGCATTTCTTCAAAGATTTTCGTCTCGTATTTGATGCAAATATGCCTTTGTGATGTCCTATACCTCAAGATCTCTCCAAAAGATCACATGCTCCGGACTGCACTTTATGATCCATTGTCGGGGAATATGGTGGGGTTTTGAGTGATCTCTCTCGCCTACAGCAATTAATTGCACCACTGAACAGAACGCGCCTGTGCTCGAGCGCTGTAACACACTTCCTATGGAAAGGAAATGTGATTCTCACATGTAGTTCACTTTTGTTAATGTTGCTGTTATGTAGCAGTCTGTATGAAAATGCTCAAACTATCTTATAAGCTAATATTTAAGGATGTAAACCATACTTCACTATATAATAATTCAGAGTAAGCAAGCGACGTTTAAAACAAATCAGTCACGGGAAGTGACCAGCTTACCAAAACGAAGAGTGCACCAAATTTATTGGGCTCTTTGATAAGAAGAAATGAAAGCCAAAAAATCAGGGTTCGGTAAAATAGTTCTTCCTTTTATTTATAAACAGCCTGTTTTCTGATGTCATGAAAAAATTTGTTTGGAAATTTCTCGTACTTTCCTCGTAAGTGAAAGGGATTCACCCAATCTAGATGAGATGCCTTGAGCTAAGTATCAGCATCATACATCTATACGCTCTACCTATTCTGCACCTCTGAGAAATTGGTAGCGATCCCCGTTCTGAGTACGGTAGCTATACGGTAGGCAGATAGTTCATAGCAGCAGCTAAAGTACATACTATTTTTTATTTCGCCACCGAGTAATGTAACTAAGCAACAATCTAAAGAGATTTGTTAAGATCAATAGAAATGGTTACCCATTGTACTCCTATCGTATCCGAAAAAGCACTGCTATCAGAAAATGTGCCTCAAGCCGTTTAAAAGACATCCTTGAATTTCTCTATTCTCACCCGACGGCACTAGATGCGAATTTCTTGATTCCGGCTGCTACCACCTATCACGAGCGGTATTCATGCATCACACAAAAACAAGTCAAGTGGAGAACGAACAAAAACTTTTGTTCAAAAGCAAAGAAAACCGAACAGTTTACAGAGTGTGGAATGACTTGTTCGAAAGTCTCTGGTGTTTTGCGCAATGTGTCCAATAAAGAAAATGTATGTTTGCAGTTCGTACGTATTCCTCCAGGTTTTTGCTGAAGTTTAACTGCGTGAACTTTTTGAGTCGCTTTAAATTGTGCACTTTCTTTATGCTATTTAAGAATTACGGGAAGCTTTGTTCCTACTATTAGGAAGTTTGCGGAGTTAGCATCTTTCAATGACATGCATGCGCAGGCTGTCCCATAAGTATATGTTCGTTGACCGCACGGACAGGACATCACTGCGGAGAACGCGCAGCGATTTAAAATGCTTTCTCCAGTACAAATTCGCCATTGTACAGATCGTACTCTCGCGACAATTCAGCCGCGCCGCGGGTGGTCCGCGACGTTTGAGCAATCCGTGCGTTTAACGAATCGACACAAACTGTCTGGTCGTTATCATCTCTCTTCGCACAAAGTCTTTGCCAAACTGTACCGTTGTGTAGGGCTGACTTAACTTAATTTCAAAGTATGGAGCGAACTGTTGTCGCGAGGGCAGCATTTCGAGAAAAGGAAATAAAATTAAGCTGAAAGCACTTATAGTACCTAACAGGGCCCCCAAATCTAGTGTAACTCTGGTGCCGTATCTGGCGCGCGCGTGTTCGATAGGATTGGCCCGGGGCTAACTATGCGGCTAGAGGAGCCTAACTACTAGAGATTAATACCAAAGATTTATTAGGCAGACAGAGGGCTACAAACTACAAGACAACTGCAAGAAATCTAACCCACAAAAGACACATTAGAAAAGGCAACAGCTATAGAGGGAGAGAAGAAATCTCACAGAAGAAGTGAAATTCAGAAAGGAAATGAGTCGACCAACGATCCGTCCGTCCACTGTCTGGTGGCTAAGGTATTTATGTGAGCCCAAAATTAATTAAGCTCCAACTCCCTCGATCAAAGACATTATGCACAATTAATATCGCCGTGTCATTTACAAATATGAAACAATGGTGTGCCTTAATATTCCGACCACCTGGCACCATGCACAGCATCGTGTCAGCATCGTTGTCGCTGTTGACGCGTTGTTGATGTTATACAGGTACAATGTTGATAACCTTCTCGATATCCAGCGATAGAATAGTTGTTACTATACGTTGCCATTACATCCTTCGCTTCGGAGAAGATCCGTCTCGGATCTTTAAGGAGCCGCTGTGCTTGCGCAACGAACGGCCAGAGTAATGGAAAGGATGTGGAAAGGGTTGGAGCTCTTTTTTTTTGTTTTGGTGTTGTTTGGTTTTTTTTCAAGAGCCCACCTAAAGGGCGAACGGATGATTTGTAATACAATTTAAATAGTCTACAACAAATATTGCAGAAAAAAATAACAGGGAAGTGTTAGACGAAAGTTACTATATCGCAGGGATACGGTAGTAAGGGCGAGACGAGAATGACGTCATCACATATTGGTGGAGCCGGTAAGGCGACGATGACGTCATTGTTATAGTGGAGTTGAGTCACTGGTCTTGAAGATGACGATGCGAAAGGACACGTTGTTGAAATACATCGATCGTTGGATAATCCACTTTGGCATTGCTCTTAGTACAAGCCGGTTGTCTGTAGATTGGTTTTTCTTCTTATCTTCTTTTGCATTCTTCTTTTGTAAATGTATCGTCGGTAAGAGAGACTTTTCCTTTCCAGCATGATCGTTGACAGGAGCTACTGCCCATTTCGTTGTTTCAACCGTGGAGTGTGTAATCGGGACTCCGGCTTCGTTTTCTACATCTGTTACGAGGCAACTGAAAATAAATTTTGTGAAGACACCTCTGCTGTCACCCAGCTGAACCTACCCCGTTTCGGGTTTTAGCTTTGGTAGGTTTTTTTCTGTTCTCTCAAAAAAAAAGAAGAGCATTTTCCTGTAAAAAGTTGAACTAAGAAACCATTCTTTCCTCTTACAGCTGCGGCCATCTTTTTCTTGTTGTTACTGGCATACGCCGTCTGGCGACGCTACAAAGAATGGAATCAGTCGCGAGTGATTAGCCGCCACGCAAGAGGACATGCAACTCCTCCGGCTCCGAGGGAGGAGCCGCAGGCTCCGCCTGTTTATGTAATGGCAACGTATAGTAACAACTATTCTATCGCTGGATATCGAGAAGGTTATCAACATGATGCCATCAACAACAGAAACAACTCCTAGCTCTAGTCCAATAATATGGGAGGACTTAACAGTAAGCGGATCATCTGAATTATTGCGAAGTCCAATGTTGAGCAGTTCAACATCGTTGCGCTCTTCAAGTCCAATACCGTGGCGCTTGCCACTACGGCCTATTTCCAACCTTAGTATGCTTCACATAAATAGACGAGTAAGACGCGTCAGAAGAAGAAGAACATCGCGAGATCATTTTGGCAATGCGTTCATGCAACCTTCTAGGGTTGAAACCATCTACTGGAGCTGTCTCAGACCTATAATAACTTGTCGAGGGCCCAATCTGATAAGGGTTTATCATTCTGTCGAAAATTTCCACAGTTCAGTACGACCACACCCAAGGGATTTACCGCCTATCGATCCATCAACGCGGTGTACTATCTGTCCTACGACAGAACACCTTTTACGCCAGTGCCAGAGCCTACAACCATTATGGCTCAAATTCACCCACATTATTTACTACCAGGTTGGTCAGAGATGTGCGCGAATTCATAGAGAGTTCTCGTATGAAAACTGTCTAACGCCTCTGCGCTGTAACATTTGTCAACTAGTAGATCACCCTGCAGTATTATGTACTTCAAGATCATACGTCATTATACCGGTCGGCGATGAAAACCAAGAACTCAACGACGCGTCATGTTCACCTACACCATCTAATGATGCCTTCTGAACAACATTTGGTGCCTCATCCTTCTAAGGGCGCGATATATGTGGCATAGGAATAACATGTTTTTTTTCCTTTTTACCTTGACGACCATAGTTAGCTGTGAATTGTAGTAAAATCTTGTAATCTCCTCAGTGTAGACAAGGAAGCATATGTAGACAAGGGCTAATTCACTTATGGAAGGTCGCCAACGTGATTCTTTTATGTCATATCACGTTCCTCTGACAATCTCGTTAAATGCTGCGCAATCTACATATTCACAAGATTCTCTAACCCTATCTACAGCTGGCTCCACCGCAACGAATAACAACAACAAAATCTTTTACATCGAGATTATCGTCTCCGCGGTTGATAAGAAAAGACGGAATACGCTTTCAAAAGAATTTTAAGAAATAGTGAGAAACGCGGCCAAAGTAGTAAGAGACGAAAACAAGTCATTTCACTCTAAGAGCGAACACAAGCCAAGCCAGCCCAAATCTAAGACTGTACTTATGTCTGTAGAGGATAACCCTATCTATAGATCTTTTAAGATTCTCAACGAGCGCGCAGAAAAGTTCTCTGAGGCTACAGATAGAACATTCGAAGAGTTTCTAGAGGAAGATAGAGATATAGCCAGTCGCTTCAAGATTACGCATGCAGTCGCAAAGAGCTTACTCCCTATGTTCCTAACCGGGTCAGCGAAAATCAAGTATAACACCATAGAAATTAAAACGATCTCACTTGGGAACAATTGGTAACAGAGCTAGCAACTAGATGTAAAAATGAAGCACTTTTAAGTAATGTTCGGGACGAGCTTCATGGGCTCACCCAGGGGAAAGACACAGTTGGTGATTTTGCCAGTAAAGTATTGGCTAAAACAAAACTTTCATTCCAAGGGCAAGATAGAGGACTAGTCAAGCAACTCGCAATAGACTTCTTTATCAAGGGTCTTCGACTAGACATTAGGAAGGCCATTCGCCGTTTGCCTAAGCATGAAGAGTTTGAAGACGTGCTGTAGCGCCGAAAAAGAAGCACGTATACTAGAACAAGAAAGACAGGAAGATCAAGAAGTACTCAGATCCATAAACTCCTTGGTAACTGACGATAAGATAGATAAGTTGCAAACTCAACTAAACAACTTGACCCTGGGCACTGACTCTGGTTGGAAT